CCACAAATTACACTTACATGCGTGTGTACATTCTATATATATATAAAAATATGTATCCCTATACATGCTTACACATTTTATTTTCATATAGTATGGAAATGTAATTACTTGTAATCGCATAGTTCGATTATAATTAATCACAATTACTTGTAATTACGATTACATGTAATCATGATTACATTTTGATAACTTGTCACCTGAATTACCCGCAAACGTTTTTTTTGTGATTACTTGCAATCACGCTTACAGTTCTAATCGTCCCGCATTGGACTGATTGTTAAGACATGGTTCCCGGAAGATCAGCGAAGTCAAGCACCGCTGTCTGCAATCAGTGTACGGGTGGTTGACCACTTGGATTAGTCTGCGTAGGGACCGAGGGTGTGCGGTATGAGTCCTCGTTAAACTTTTCATCCGTAAAGTGCTCGACTTCGCGTGCAGGTTGTCGGGCTACCGAAGAGGGGGTGCCATCCCCTCTGCAGAGGATCAAAATTGTGATGGCATGTCTTCGGATCATCCTCAGGGATGTTTCCCAAAACGTCGCCAACAGCCCATTGTGCAGCTCTTGTGCGACGTAAATGAACTACAACTACAGATGTAATTAAAATTATTGAAAGTTGAAACCACGATTACAAATGATTGATTACTGTAATCGACTATTGTAATCGCGATTACAGCTGTAATCAAAGTTGCAATCACGATTACANAAGTAACATATATGCGTACATGCATCGTATATTCATAATTATTTAGACTAAGCATATACGTATTGAATTATGTATATTACTACATAATTATGAATATTACTATAAATTTATGTATATAACTATATAATTATGAATATTACTCTATAATTATGTATATTGCACGTACAAACAACGTTGGTGCATACATTGTATATGTATAAGAACCACAAATTATTCTTACATGCGTGTGTACATTCTATATATATAAAAATATGTATCCCTATACATACTTAAACATTTTATTTTCATATAGTATGGAATCGTAATTACTTGTAATCGTATAGTTCGATTATAATTAATCACAATTACTTGTAGTTACGATTACATGTAATCATGATTACATTTTGATAACTTGTTACCTGAATTACCCGCAAACGTTTTTTTTTGTGATTACTTGCAATCACGCTTACAGTTGTAATCGTCCCGCATTGGACTGATTGTTAAGAAACGGTTCCTGGAAGATCACCGAAGTCAAGCACCGCTGTCTGCAATCAGTGTACGGGTGGGTGACCACTTGGATTAGTCTGCATAGGGACCAAGAGTGTGCAGTATGGATCCTCGTTAAACTGTTCTTCCGTAAAGTGCTCGACTTCGCGTGCAGGTTGTCGGGCTACCGAAGAGGGGGGTGCCATCCCCTCTGCAGAGGATCAAAATTGTGATGGCATGTCTTTGGATCATCCTCAGGGATGCTTCCCTGACTGTCTCCAACAGCCCATTGTGCAGCTCTAGTGGGACGTAAATGAACTACAACTACAATTGTAATTAAAATTATTGAAAGTTGAAACCACGATTACAAATAATTGATTACTGTAATCGACTATTGTAATCGCGATTACAGCTGTAATCAAAGTTGCAATCACGATTACAAGTAATTAATTACTGTTATCGACAATTTTAATCACGATTTTAGCTTTCATCAAAATTATGTTATCTTGTTATCATGATAGCATGTAATTGATTACTGTAATTGAAAAATGTAATCGATTACATTTTTGCCCAACTCTAGTAGATAGTATGACAGATACGGTGAGAATTCAAGTATTTTGACAGATCTGTTTGAGTATAGATAGCCAACAAAAGAAATGCTTGTTTCCAAATAGAGTGAGTTAACATCGTACGGTATGATGAAATATATAAAGTTCTTGTTTATTAAATAATTTTTTATTTATTTACTTTACTTGGAAGTTTTCATTGTCCAATATTTCATATAAGAAGGTTTTATTTTTTTATCTTAAACTAAAATTGCAAGTGCTGTAATACAACACACCCTTCAAAAAATCGCCTCACTGCAAAAATACTGAACAGATGCCAGTTTTTCTTCTTTTGTGTAACTTTAGAAAAAAAATTTGGCACATTTTTTAATTAACTTACTTTTTATTAAACTTTTAAACAAAAATGTTTTTGATTAAACTTCCATTTTGCGAATTTCTTCATTTTGCAATTTTTCTTCGTGAAACCAAGAGCATTTTCAAAATTTCTTAAAATAACTTACAAATAGCGAAATGAATTTTCTATTTAACGAACTTTTATTTGAGATCCACTTTCCCTATTTCCTAAATTATTTCAGAATATTTCAAACTTGTTAACCCATTTTATGGAGGAAATTACCTCCAACTAATTTTCAAAGCCACTTAACTTTTAGAGAACTTATAGCTTGAATTGATTTTCGCAGTCACTTAACCTTTAAGGAAAGCAGTGAAATCCCTTTCACTTTTTGTTTGCATTTCAGACAAAAAACTCGGACAAAATTTACGGATTTTATCAATGGTAATTAAGCTTAAGAACGCATGTGGTAATGTATGTTTAAAATTACTTTTTTATAAAAAATGCAGATATAATTTCATACATAAATTTAGCTTTTTTTTAGTTGAAAATATATGTAGCACTGGATAATGTTTTGCTCCATTCTTGTTCTCCATGCAGATTTCTTTTATAGTTGCGATTTATAAAATAAATAACAGATACTAGTTTACAAGATAAAGGTATATCAATTGCTATTCTAATTATGCCTCGTATTTGTGAATTTAAAACCAGTATTGTGTTTAGTTTTGTGTTGTCAGGTTGTCAGGTTTTGTGTTGTTTAAGCATTTCAAAATATGATTTTCTACTTAACGAATTTTCCATATAACGAAATTATTATCGGGATTTAGCAACTTCGTTAAATAGAGGTCCGACTGCATAATCTAAATTTTTTAGCTGAATTCTTTACGGGTAAGTTATTGTAACTTAAAATTACTAACTTACGTAACCTGAAATTCAACTTTATTTTTAGAGAATCAAAAAGTGACTCTAACAGAAGATCATTCAAGTCCTGTTGTTTCGTCTTCTGGTTTTTTTGTGATATCCAAAGTAAATGCAGGGAAGAATACACTTTTCAAGCAGACAATGGTTTCTATCAAAAAATATATTCTGATTTCAGTTCGTGGTAAATAATCAGGTAAATTCATGAATCATTGTTGTAACTTCAGTTTGTGCTGAACAAGCTTATGTCAAGAATTTTGAAATTATGCTTGGGCTAAACGAGTGATTTTTGTCGAATACTTTTCATACTCATATTTTATATATATGTGCTAAACAATTTCTTCTTCAATATTTTCAGTAATTATGATTTAGAATATTATTGTACTAATTGCTTTTTAGCTAATACATTTCTCAATTTTGTTTGTATTTTTTTGACTGTGCTAGTTTTACTGAAAATTATATTCCGTAATAATGTTTTAGGATTTGACTATTTGACAATTTTTTTCTCGAATGTTTTTCATATTTTTGCTTTGAGACATGCCTGTACTAAACATCTTATTTTAGTGGAATATATTTCTTAATCACGTTTCAAAATATGGTTCTGCTAAATATTCTTCGTGGAATATTTTAGGAGTATGTTTTAGGATATGACTGAGCTAAATAATTGTTTGTCGAACATTTTCAATCATGTTTTAGAAAATGACTGTGATAAGCCATTTGTGTATCGACTCTTTTGCGTAAGTAAATTTTAGGAAACGTTTGCATTAACCTTTTTTCTTTTGATTAGATTTTGGAATTTATATTTTTTTCAATTTTAAAAGAAAGTTCAACACGCTTTATTTTTCTACATCAACATATGAGGAAAATTTCCATAAAGTTAATTGTTATTGTGTTCTATTAAATGATTTACGTGTCACTAGTTATTTATAAAAACATATTATCGTTTTAAATTTACGATAATATTTTANGGGCGAGGCTTCTGGGGCGATATATTGTGATTACAGACACACACACACACACACAGCCGCTTTTATTATTATGTATAGATATATGTGCTAAACAATTTCTTCTTCAATATTTTCAGTAATTATATTTTAGAATATTATTGTACTAATTGCTTTTTAACTAATACATTTCGCAATTTTGTTTCTCAATTTTGTTTTTATTTTTTTGACTGTGCTAGTTTTACTGAAAATTATATTCCGTAATAATGTTTTAGGATTTGACTATTTGACAATTTTTTTCTCGAATGTTTTTCATATTTTTGCTTTGAGACATGCCTGTACTAAACATCTTATTTTAGTGGAATATATTTCTTAATCACGTTTCAAAATATGGTTCTGCTAAATATTCTTCGTGGAATATTTTAGGAGTATGTTTTAGGATATGACTGAGCTAAATAATTGTTTGTCGAACATTTTCAATCATGTTTTAGAAAATGACTGTGATAAGCCATTTGTGTATCGACTCTTTTGCGTAAGTAAATTTTAGGAAACGTTTGCATTAACCTTTTTCCTTTTGAATAGATTTTGGAATTTATATTTTTTTCAATTTTAAAAGAAAGTTCAACATGCTTTATTTTTCTACATCAACATATGAAGAAAATTTCCATAAAGTTAATTGTTGTGTTCTATTAAAGGATTTACGTGTGACTAGTTAGTTATCAAAACATATTATCGTTTTAAATTTACGATAATATTTTACTATTTCTGAATGAGGATAATATCACTACAAAGTTTATTTTATGTAAAAGTTTATTTTAGTAAAGTAAAATGTAATAACCTGATTAGTAAGATAAAATGCGGACCCTTTTAAATATTATGCAATAAGAAGTTTTTTCCTTAAAATTCTACTGCAAAAATTATAAGTTTGTCAAAAAAAATTTCCCTAATTAAATGATATTTTGTAAATCTGATGATATTAGTAAATCTGTTGAAAAAATAAAAATTTATACAATGAAGCATGAATATGTAGTCAAGTTATAATTTTGAAAACTTCATGAGAATTTATTGGAAATTATAGCTTGTTTTAATGAATAATTAGTTTTACAGTAAGCAAACCTGTTTCAAAATGACATATACGGAATTAAAAAATTAAAAAAAATCTTTTGCCACATTTTCCCTTTTTCCCGATGTGGGGCGCTGCATATCCGTTACCGTAAATTGAGTCACTCATGATTAGTCAACGCCATATTGTGTCTTATGTTTATTAATCGCGTATTTTTGCTCGCAATTAAAAGTGATGTTTGAAGATTTAACCTAATTAAGAGCTGATATCAACTATATATTACAAATCATTTTGAAATAAAATTATGTTTCAAGAAAAATCTTAATCTATCATGTTTATCGGTTTCTTACACAGACTTATTACTGTATGCGTCATCTGTTTACGGTATATATTGTGCGGAGGTAAGGATAAAATATTATTTCTTTTTATTAAAAATGTAATTTTATACATCATTGAATTTGCATATTAATTTCATGTAGAAAACATTTATGAAATGCATTTTGTCTGCTTAACTAGTTATTTATATGATAAATTTAACTGACACTCAAAATTCCTTCATTTCTCGAATCATTCCATTTTTATTTTAAATTTCTATTATTACTGTAACTAAAATAATTAAAATTTAATTTTATGTTGTAATCATCATTAGCTATATTTTTTAATATTGTTGTAGTCATTATTATATATTAAACATGATTATAAAGATTTATTGATCAAGATTTTTATCAAACTTAAATTGTCGCAAATTATACCTGAATTTTTGTAATTAAATATTTCTTTAAATTGTGCTTTAAAATGTATGCTACATTTCTTAGAAATAAGTACCAATTTAATAAAAGTAAATGTGTGTTTATTTGCCATAATCCGTATTAATGTAGGTTCATAGAAACAGTGTACCCTGTTATAAATTTCTCGGAAAAGATGGTTAAATAACAATTTATTTAATTGTTATTTTACCATATTTAAACGAAACAGTCAAATAACCATAAACAAGATGGTAATGAAATTATTAACAGTGTGAAAAATAGTTTATAAACATTTTTTATATCTAAAACGGTTGAAAAACAAGAATTTTATTGGACCAACTAAGCCCACCTAATGAAGCAAATTAGTTTCTTGTTACTTCTTACATATTACAGCAGAGAGAGCTAATCTGTCAATCTTATGACCAACAGAACGGGGGTACAAGTCCCAGCGTTGACACCTCCATTTCTTTTAACGCACACAAAAAATTTCATTTCCAGAATGTCTCACGGTCTCCTATGCCCATTATCTAACAATAAACCTAGCTCCTATGTCCAGTTAAATTTATTTTTTTTACGGTTTTGAAACCACGGTTGCAAATGGTTAAGAAACCGTATACTTTTGCATTCATGATTATATAACCATAATAGTTGCAAACGGTTTTTGAAACCGTAAAGGTGAAAAATATTCCTTACCGTAAACTTCACGGTAAGTTGGATGAACAGACTGCTGCCAGTTATTTAATCATAATTTAAGAATGAAAATTCTAGCAGTGTAGGGAACTGTTTAAAACAAATATTGTTAGCTAACAGTATCGACTTAGATATTTCTCTGTTCTTGTTTATTTATACTAATACATTTTTAATCAAAGCTTTTACTACTATTTACTAAAACTATTCTTATTGTTTTCCTTAGATGCTCCTGTAATATCACCTTTTATGTTCCCTCCTATTCTAAAGGAGGGAGAGAGAGGAAGTACAATATGCACTATACGTTCTGGAACTATGCCTGTGGAATTCCATTGGATAAAAGACGGTCAAAAGTTGAACGACGATGTAAATTTGGAGATTCAGTTTCTAAAAGATTCTTCCTTTTTGAGAATCAATTCCGTGACGTCGAAAAATTCTGGAAATTACACTTGTCAAGTAACGAATGCATTCGGAAGAGATCATTTCACAGCAAGTCTTACTGTGACAGGTAAATCTTACTCAAATCATTCATTACACAAAAATAAGTAGTAATTCGCTTCACCTAATAATTTACTCAAAACAGATGAAATTTTATCAAAACGCTGAATCAGATTATCGGGCATACAGTCCCAGGTGCACTATAAGATTCTATTTAAATTCTTAATTATCAGGCGATACTTTTATTGTTTTTACGCGGTTCGCACTTGTTCACGTTCGTCTATCAATTGGGTAAATGATACGATATATTATATAAATATATCGATTGGATAAATTAGACGATATATTATATAAAAATAGAATATTTATCAAATCAGGTATTATATTAGTATATTATTATAATTAGACCAAGTAATTAGACTCACTGTGGTGATTTAATAATTAAATGTTTTGATTGAGTTTATAGGCGATACTTTTATATTTAAACCTACATGTGATGGGTTTTTATTCAGTAGTTTTTTTAAATACTTTATATTTGCATTTATTTTGAACGTATTGCATTACAATGTCAATCCATTGATGCACGAAAGTAAACAAGTGCAAACCTGTTTCAGTCGCGGAAAAACAATGAAGCTTTATAGTATCATCTGATAATTAAGATTTTACATATAGTCTTATAGTGGATCCAATAATTTGGCCAGGGACTGTCTACCCAATTCATAATAATTATTTATATACTTTATTACGATTTTTTTTTCAATCATTAAAATAAAGGTTTTTCTGTTTTAAGCACCGCCTACGTGGATACATCAACCTACTGACCAATACGTTAAAGAAAATGAACAACTGACCATTGATTGCAAAGCCTCGGGTGTTCCTTCTCCTGTAATAAAATGGACTTCAGGTATGATTGTCATAAAAATGGATTATTATGATGATGATAATGATCATAATTGATTATCATAATCTGTGATGAAGGGTGAGAAAGTTTAAATTTTTGCCAGAGTTTTCTTTTAAAAAAATTCCATTAAATTCCAGGAAAAAGGCATGTCCAATTCGGAATATATTCTAAATCACTTAAGAAAATCTATTTATAGTTAAATTTTTAAGGTAATTGAAACCTTACAGCTATTGAACAACTATTTAGTTAAAATCTTCCGTAATCACCACTCTTAATCAACATATTTCTGGAGCCCTCGTCAAAAAAGTATTACACACATTGGGAATCCAAATTTAATATATGAGTGGAGAAAAATGTAAACATTACTGAAATTTAAAGAGCCACAACTGAGAAAGAACGGAAATCACCAAAACCTATTTGATTGCCAGAAGAAGCCGAGAAGAGTTTAAAAAAAAGAGACAATCTTCAAACAGGTCATCCTATATAGCATATCTTTAACAGACAATCTAACAGATTTTGATGATTTCAGAGTCACATTAATTACCACAGTTTTTTTCAGTTTTTCTTGAGTTTTTGTTTCCACTCTCCTAAACACTAATTTGCGACCCCTAAAGTGTCTACTCAGACATAACTTAGTTTTAGACTTAATTTTACAAAGTTAAATTTATAAATTTGTTTCCTGAAGATCGTATTATTTTTGAAAACTTATGGGGCATTTACCACATACCTTTTCAGTCTGATCTTTTCTGCATACGGCAAACCAGACGTGCTTAATAATTTAGACTTCAGAAACAATAACTCTGTCCGTTAACAAGGCTACAATAGATCATCTATTGTTCTTCGATTCATTTGAGCAAAAATAACGTCTGACTGCTTTTTGCAATGATTAAAATTATTAATAATTTTTTCACCTTTTCTTAATATTAATTTGTCAATTTTCATATGCTGAATATTATCTGAACCACAAAGTTTACTTAATTTTCTTCCTATATAAATTTACAGTGCTCAAAACAAGAGAAAATAAAAATTTCCTTGAATTACTTTTGTACACAACCTCAAATGCGCTAATTAGTCAGTGCAGATGATATTTTAAATTTCAAAATCAGACAAATAACTGTACTTTCTCTGAATAAACATACCTTTTTTTTCAACAGATTACGATTCCTGATCCTCAAAATACGGTGGATAACCGCAATCTGAGAAGTATAGTCCCAATAATTTGGTTGGGAGATCAATCGAAATTTTAGCCCTTTCACTATTAATTTTACTTTCAGTGCATTTTGAATTGTAAGGAGAAAATATTTTTCACTTAATTATAAAAAATTGATTTACTGAAAGACAATGTCTTGCAAAAACTAATTTTTAATACTAATTTATTGTTTTTTACTATTTTATTTGATAATAGTTCGTAATTGCAAGATACGCAGGTTTTTATTTCATTTTAAAAAAAGTAATTTTATATGGCAAAATACAAAATTTGAAAAAATTTGGTTGATTTCCTAAAATATTTAATTTGAATATTTTTTAAAATTCAATTTCTCAAAAACTATTTGAGTGATATTGTTGAAATTTTATATTTTGTCATATGAAATTACATTCTTTAAATTCTTTGATTTGAGCAAAATTAACATTTGACTATTTTTTGCAATGATTAAAAATTATTTTATAATTTAGGTGATAAGGATCAGCCTATTCCAAACGAAGTGTCTTCCAATGTTAGAGTAACAGACAGCGGCTCCTTATCAATTAATAAAGTGGATGTCAACGTTGAAGGATCATACATCTGTAGAGCAAGTAATGATTTTGGAGAACCTCTTATTCAGAAAATATCTATATTCGTCCACAGTAAGTAAGAAAATTTTTTCGGGGATAAGTGTGCGTAAGCAAGATTTCATGTCAAACAAAGAAAACTGTAAATACTGTTTACATATGCTTTAAAAAATACAACAGATGTTAAATCTCTGTTCGTTTACTCTTTTAAAATGTCTCATTCCCATTTAAAGTTATTCGAATTTGTCTAGGTATCAAATTTCTACCTCCAATTTCGTTTATGTTGATTTTGTAGTAATAGTATTGTTAAATGTGTGTTCATATTTTTTACAGATTAGTTTAAGAATCAGTACAAATATCTATCTAAGATCATTTAATGTTTTGTATGTAATCTAAGTATGTAAGTATGTAATCTTTGAACGTAATTTGATGTAATCTAAGACCATTGAATGCAATCTTGGATTATATTATTTCAATCTATTTTAGAAATTATGTCAAAATATTTTACTCAACAGGAGGCATAAATTAATACTTGAAGCAAGGTAAAATCAAACATTTTATCGAAAAATAACACATTACTTATGATGATGGTGAGATTTAAAAAAATGAAAAACCAATTTGATTGCCTGATGAAACGTATTGGTGTTGCTAATAATCCCTTTTTAAACTACTCTCTGCTTCCTCTGTCAATCAAAGAATTTTTAATGTTCTCGGTTTCATCTTTCTCGTTTTGATTTCGATGTCTTTTTTATTTTTTTTATTTTTTCTTGATTAGATATAAATTTACTGCCACCAAATGTTTTTTGCCTTCATTTTTGGATAGAATTCTAATGATATAGGGCAAAGGTGTTCAATCTTTTTGGCAAGGCCAACTGGAGTTAGAAAGAGAGATGGGAGGATTGCCTCCAAAGGAACTTTACCACAATCAAGGTCAGAGGCTGGAAAGCCGTGGCACGCAGAAGAAAGTACTGGTGCAGTCTTCTTGAGAAAGCCAGGGTCCACCCAGGACAGTCGAGCTACTGATGATGAAAGGTGTTCAATAAGGTATTTTTTAATCGGTATTCATTAAACCTAAAAATACAATATGCAATGTTAGTTGACAGTGACTTCTAATGAGAAATCCCCTACCATTGATCTTGGTAACCATTGATTGGTAACCTTGATCTACCATTGACTTGTAAGCGGTACGGCGGGTCTCCATAAAGCTGTTGTCTCTTCATAAAATTGAAACATTTCTTGCAAAAGCAATTTCTTGGTAATTGTGTACAATTTTAATATTTTGTATCGAATCTGATTCATGTTATGATTTAATTTCTTTAGTTTTAACATGCTGATACATTTGCAGTGTAAAGTAAAAATATAAATATTAAAGATGCTTATAATTAAGAGTATTTTAATATAATAAAGAGAATTATTGAAAAGGCCTGTTTTTCATAACTCTAGCTTCAATGTTCTTCCAAGACGTCGCGGCATATATGTAGTTTGTGAAGCATATCGTTTTCATTAAAATGTTCACGATATCAAACATATTACTTGTAATAGAGTATAATTCTGTGAAACCATGAATAATTATTTTTTGCATTATTAACATTTTAATACATTTAATGAATATCAGCTATTTTAAAAATTTATAGGTTGGTGAAAAGCTCTTATATTATTGTGGCAAAATAATGAGTTTTTAATTTGTGATATTTACAATAATTACCTACTGACACCCGTGCTCGATATTAATGAAAAAATCAAGATATATGAGTAAATGTTTTTCTTTTTGTATTTTTCATGAAATATTTTATAATGTAAATTTTAAATAGTGTTTTAGTCAATAAATTATGATTTATTTTTCTTAAACCTCTTTATTTACATACAATTTTTTTAAAAAAATAAGGAAGTTGTCTGTAAGACACTGATGGGACAATAAATTCTACTGAAATTAAAAAAAAGCTGTGGATCGAACTAAAAAGAAGAAATATGCATTTTTTTTAAAAAATGAATTTAGTTGCAGCATAAACTTTCATTTTGGTAATGGACAAGAACGTTATAAAATATTTATTTCCAAATTTACTCTTTTAAAGAACTCCTGAACTGTTCTTAATAAAAACACGGATGTTTTAAAAACTTTTTTTCGCAAACCTTGATTTCAAAAAATAACATTATAATTTACAGAAAAGGAGAACAAATAGTTTATTTTCTTTTATGTTATTTTGTTTGATTCTATTATAGGACCTAAAACTTTATTCTTTGGTGACATAAATTACTTTCATGCCAATAAAAATGCACAAATGCGCATTTCTTCTTTTACTTTCCATCATTTTTCTTCATTATCTAGTATGTACTCTTATATTCTTATAAATTATATTTATAATAGTTCAATTCGTAAGAATTTTATATAACAATAAATAATTTTTTTTTAAAAGCAATTTACTTTTATCTGTTGAAAATTTTAATTATCAAACTCAAAAATAATAGTGAAAATTATTTATTAAGTCCATAATAATTATAATTTGGATAATAATATTTTGGTTAATAACATTTTGGTTAAAACTGAAATACTTACTGAAAACATTTTCAGCAGCTTGTTTCGTTTTTCTACCGATATGTGGCGCTGCGTCCTCTGTGTGTTATAATGAATGATATACGTTACGAATATATGACGCCATTTCATTTAGATTTTAAGTTGTTATACAACCAATATTTGAACATGAGTGTGGAATGTTTTGTAACACCATCAACAAAGTTGAAGTTTTGAAATTTATTTCAATTTTTGAATGCATTAATGCCTTATAATGCTGCTGTTGTTAGCTGGAATTGTTTTCACCTGCGCTGGATATGCTCATTGTGGAGGTAAGTGTGCATTTAGTAATTTTTATATTGTATAAAAAAAAACAATTTTGTAAATAAAAGTATTGATTTTAATTATTCCGAATGCAAAATTTTGCACGTTAACGTATGCTATCAAGCATGATTTTTTAAAAAATTTTCAAGTTGCTGATTTAGACAGGCTATGCCCTTTATTTATTTAGACTGAAACATAATTTGATAATTCCTTTCACATATATTTAAGTTTCTTTAATTCTTATTGAGGATGTATTATATAGATACTACATCCGTTCAGAAATTATCAATATAAAGTTAATGGCTAATGAAGCTTTTAATAGTTCTTTATTAAGTTCAAATTTATTTTGTAATTTGATTTAATAAAATTAGAGCTATGTAACTAAAATTTCTGTTTAAAATTTTAAAAAAAGGCATTTGTTTAAAAATAAAGTTACCGTAACATTTGATACAAATTTAACTAACATATTTTATTTCTTACGCCTGCATTCAAAAGAAGTCTATAAACTAATACAATAAACTAGTGAATGCAGTAAACTAGTTGCTTGAGCTCATAATAAGAGATATAATTACATGAAAATACAATTATTAAAATCTTATAGGACAAAAAATAACAATGATAGCATTATTGAATATGAAGTTAATGAAGTTGATAGCATTATTGAATATGATTGACGAAATAAGAAACGTTTATTTTGTGTATTGAAATATTTTATTAAACTTATTTATGTGTATTCAGTGTAATTGCTGTACGTCTTACCTAATAATGCTATAGGTAGTTTAACACTTCCAAATTGCTTAAAATTAATAATTTGTACAAATGTAAATTATTTTAGATCCTCCCATTCTAAATCCTTTTACTTTTCCATCTGCATTGAGGGAAGGAGAACGTGCAATTGTGACTTGTGTAATTCGCTCTGGAGACAGGCCTCTAACTTTTCAATGGTTGAAAAACAATGAATTATTGAAAGAAGCTCCAGAGATTGAAATTAGATCGGATAAAGATGTGTCAATTCTTCTTATCGAATCTGTTGTTTCTCAGAGTTCTGGAAATTATACATGTATTGCCAAAAATTCTTTTGGCAGTGATAGATACACGTCTACTCTGGAAGTTTCTTGTAAGTATTTCATAACATTTTTGATAACGATAAGTATTTATAAAATATTTCATTTAAGTTATGAAATTCAGATGTTAGCGTTAGTTAGCAAGTTTCTTACAGAAGTAATATATCGTGTGTTTTTATTTTGTTTTTTTTCTACTTTTAAAATAATATTAAGAGAATTGACATTTAAAAGAAAGAATTTACATTTAAGATAATATAATATTTATTTCAAAAAAATAATTAAAAAAACTTGCTATATTTTTTGCCAAAAAAATTTTCTTCTTGTAAAAGAGGTAAATTAATAATAAAAACAATATATGAAGTAGTTTTATAAAATTCCATAAATATATTTGCGTTTCATCTCTCTTTTTTTTTACTATGGAGAGGCAATTAAAGTATTATCGTTTTCTACATTTTGCTAATACTAATAATTCAAAATCTTATTTTTTAAATAGTAGTTTCATAAGTTTGTTTTCTTGTTTTGCTTAGTTTTTGTTTAATTTTTCATAAAATTTTACCTGGATATTTTTTTACAAATTTTTTTCCTTTATTTTTAATCTGAACCATTTTGACTACCGTTTTTTAAGCTAACATTGATATTTTTAAAGCTGCAAAATATGTTTTCAACACTGCTGCTTTCATTTCAAAATGTATTTAAATTTTTTTTATTTACCAATACAATTATTATATCTTGATAGAGCAGTGAGATTCTATTTTCATATTATTAAGATTAAGTATTTAAAACAGTTCTATAAATAAAATCAATATTTTACAATATTTTTAATTTGCTTTCTTTGACATCCATTTAAAAAAAAGTACAATTTTTTTTTTTCAAAATACCTTATCATGACTGCTAAGTATTTGCTTAAGAATCAACAATAGAATTAACGAGAAACCTATTGCACATATAAATCATATTTCTTACTTCAATCAAAATTATTAGGCGGTTTCTTCTACAGGAAAAATCGGTTTATGTAATAGAAATGAGTCGGATCTCATAAAAAGGAGAGAAAGTTGGCTTTCTCTCATCGTTACTGTTGTTGCAAAGAAACGTTTCTACAGGGGCATCTCAATTCTAATACATTATTCCCGGCGTTAATCCCGGCTTTCTCCGCACTTGTAGTTGCAAGTTTTCCTACATCGATAAACCAGTTTCCTCTGTAATATTCAATTCAAAAATAGTACGTAGCAGAGAAATTTCCCTATAATTTTACCTAGCATCTCAACCCTTGGAGGGTTAAACAATTTGCGATTTAAAGCATTTATCGTTGTTATTTTTGTGACATGTTTTACGTAATTTAAAGTTTCTTTTTTCTGTGTATAAAGAAACAACATTATCGATAATTTTTTAAACAATATTCTGGCTTTGTAAATAATTTTTTGTTTTACCGTTTAAGACGCTAATAAATTACTAAAAAAGATTTTATATAATTTCCGTTATCTGATAAAAACAAGTTTGATTTACGTGATACAAATTCTATTTGCATTACAAGAAATGTGTTTTTTAAATATTTAAAAACGAGTGCAATAAAGCTATTTAGCAGTTCTTTTAAAATTATACTCTATAAGAATTGTAAAAATATTTCTAATAAACAGGTTTGTAATCTAACTTTCTCAATTAATTAATTTTGATATTTTCAGAAAATACTGATATTCATTTCCGTAATATTTCATTGTAAAAGATTTAAAATTATTATCATAGCTCCCCCGGAATGGTTAAAGGAGCCAATAGACGCAGTAGGAAAAGAAGGAGAAAGATTAGTGTTAGAGTGTCAAGCAGCAGGAGTTCCACAGCCTACAATCACTTGGATATCAGGTATAATATATGCTTCCCTTTTTTACATATTCCCCTTTTCAGCTTTAAATAAATAATTAAAAATTAATAATTGCATAGAAAATATACGGGATGCTTCCATTCGGGTGAAATGCAAATAGAACACGCACATGACAATACTGTTTGTCTTCATAGGAAAATCACGTGACAGGAGAGAGAACCAATAGAATTTTCCTACTTTCTGTTTCTCCTTGTTATATCAATTGAAGAAAATTGATGCAGATTTACCTATAAACTGATTGATGAATCTAACTCGATGTAAATTTTTTAAGAAAATGCAGCTCTAATTTATTCTCAATTTTTATTTTATTTTTCTACACCTTGACATGTCTAAAACAATACTTGCAAATGTTTTCAAGCTCTATGTTCAGCGGATTTGCTCTATTTATATTGCAACTCTGTTTTCACCGTAAGTACTTTATTTGTTATTTAAATTGCAATTTAATTCATGTTAGATACAGCAATGAATTCATGCATTTATAATCGACTTTCAAATTATTTAGAGTTCAGATCCGTACCTGAAAATCTAATCATTATATCAAAAGTTATGAGGGGCTCATATTAGTTTTACGCACTGTACACTTTTAAGTACGTAATAAAAATTAGAACCTAGCTTGTAAAATCTTTTTTTTAAACTATATTCTTAGAATAAGCTGTTTCTATTCCTTTTCTATAGATGGTAAGAATTCTCATGTATCGAATGATGCCGGATCTGCGATTCGAGTTCTGCCAACAGGTTCTCTAATCATAAGCAATCTAGACTCTTCAATGCAAGGACAGTACACATGTGTAGCAGACAACGGGTTAGGAGATTCTTTGAAAAAACAAATCTCCATATCTGTAAGGGGTGAGTTTTTGAAGTATTCCCTCTTAGTTGCTTTTCATGATTTATTATACGTACTCATTACACATATTTATTGTTTATTATTAGTTCATTATATATATTCATTGTTAGTCGGGCTTTGTTTCGTTACATACATTAACGATCATTCCATGTACAATTTTAAAAATGTTTTGACATCTTCCTTATATCTTTATTTACTTGACTGCATGAAACTAAGTTTGGATTAAGTTCTGGTTACTTTTTTAAGCATTTATTGTTATTTATGTGCTTGAAACTTTTTCCATGACTTTAATAGTAAAATAACTTATGTATGTTTAAATCAGATCACTATTGCTAAATTTTAAGCTTGTTATTAGTTTGATTAATTTGTTTTTGTAGACATATATTTGTTATTTAAAAATAAAATTGATGTTTTTTATATGAATTTAGAATAAAAATACATTTGAAAATTATTGATGCGAGAATGCTTTCTGTGTCTTACTTTATTACAAGCACATATTTCAAAATAATATTACAAGCGCATATTTCAATAATGAATAATACTATTTAAAATGCCCCCATTCCAATTATTTCCCAAAGTATTCCAATGAATCAGCGACATGTAATTCATTAAGTGAGGCCCATTTCGTTATTTATAATGTAGAAGGTGTTATGTATATTTAATGTGTATATTATACCCCTTCATTTTTGCACCAAATAGACATATTTTTCTTTGGACTGCATTGCTTAGATTTAATCACGAATACGTTTGGAAATGACATGAATATCTTGTAAGAGTTATCCTATACTTACTGTTCATTACACCCGCAAAATTAAGTTGTTACCAAACTAAATTTATATTGCCTATTATTTCCAATACCATATACAACAAATGAAAAATGTTCCATACGTGCAAACTGATTAAGTGGCTATTTTTATAAAATTTCAGGAACATTTTAATACTTTTATCCACTCATTTTATTATCATTTTTATTGTATGTGATGATTACTCCAAACAACAAATCTTTCTTATAAACGCAAATGTTCCTTCACTTTTATAGTGTATGACCATTTTACAGAAGCTTAATCCAATAACTGTAGGTATCATGTATTGCCATGAATGATCAAGATTAAGAGAATGTAATCTTTTATCGGTGAATGTCAACAATCACATAGTCGTTTTGATGAATGTCCGAAATATTTTTTATATCCGCTTCGATACTAATTTATTCGATGGTATTATATTTATTTCCTATTTTAATATCTGCTAAGGATAGATTGGGAGAAACATCAGTGTTCGGAATATCAGTTAAATGTATACCGGGCAGTGGCACTGAACCTTAAGAAAAACATTGATGTAGGGCATACCGGGTAGTAGCACTTAACTAGACCTAGTATATAATTCGAACATTTACCAAAGCGATTATGTGATTGTCAACATTCTTCTGTGGAAGTCAGCAACCACCAATTTCGGTCATTTACAGTAACATATCGATCACTCTGAAGATAATACCTTTTTAATCAACCTAAATATTTCTAGTGCTGTAAAGTTCATCACAATTTTAAAGAGTATTAATCCGTAAATTGTGCGGAGCAGTGATTATTTCGCACATAATTTTTCTAATGAACACAAATATTTTATTTTATTTTACAATGCATTAGCACTTTACCCTCTGATTGTATTTAGCGATTATTCCGAACTACATATCTTTCTAGCGAATGTGAATGTTTCGATAGTTTTACAGTGAGTACTGTTTTAAGGACGATTAATACTCGAATTGTGTATAGTGATTACTTTGAACATTATATCTTTTTTAAGAACGCAAATTTTTCTTCATTTTCACAGTGCATTAGCATTTTAACGAGGCTAAATCTTTTAACTATATATGCTAATTATTCTGAGCAACATATTCCAATCAACGTAAACATTTCCTTAATTGTTAAGTTCATAACGTAGATCCTCTATTTGTAAATAGTAATTACTCTGAATAAATCATCTTTTTATTGGATGCGAATGTTCATTCATTTTTTTTTCAGTGCATTAGCATTTGAAAGAATCTTAAGCTTCAAATTTTATGTAGTGATTACTCCAAACAACAAATTTTTCTAATACAGCGAAACAATCTCTCGATTTGTACAGTGTATCACTATTTTACAGAAGCTAAATCTTATAAATATAAGTGGCGATTTATCGGAACAACATATCTTTCGAAAGCAAGTTTCCTCAATACACTGTAAAAAAATTTCAATCTTTCAAAAATGCTGGCAACTTATGCAAATTTCTAATGTTTATAATCTTTTGATGATTGTTTGAAAAATTGACATAGAAAATAAAATTTTATTTGCTTATTTAAAGTTATACTGAATTTAACATATAGAAATAGATGGCATAATATCCTGAATATGACATACTGCGCTAAGCAAACAAGTTATTACGTACTTATTGTATGGTAAATTTTCCAAAACTTTTATCTGGTAGGGATATTTTAATTTCCGCTAAATAATTTTTTTGTTATGTAATCTATTTTGTCATCGATTGTTTTGTTACCTTTGTTAGTTATCCAATATCTGTTGCTGTGAATAATATTATTGAATTAGTTATTTGCTGTATCTTTGTCACTCGCCCAAATTTTGCTTTATCCGCGTAACTTGTTAATCAGTGATTATTACATAGTTACGTCTTAAAGAGAATTTAATATAATTCTTGCTTTATCGTATACTTGATTATACTGATTAAACTGATATTAGAAAATTAGAATTTTAATATCCGCGTCGTTTTAAGTTATCTGCTACAGTTATTAATATTACTGAATTACTTATTTGTTGTATCTTTGTTATTTGCACAAATTTTGGTTCATCTGTTTAACTTGAAAACATAATATTACGTATATACGTTTTAAAGGGAATTTAAGATAATTTTTGTTATATCGTATACTTTATTATACAAAACACTGATATTGCATAAAAAATATATGCTTAATAAAATATGGAATAGTTTAAAAAATATTCGATCCTGAAACGTTAGCATAATTAAGAGTGTGCCGTACATATGTATTATATTTGGCGTCTAATTTTTTAAGCACACAATAACAACTCGGTGAATAAATTGATATCATCCTATCTTTGAACAAACTATTTTTTTCTAAACAAATTATATTCCTTTTAGGTCTTGTAATACAAAAACTAGTTTATAAGTTTTAATTGTGAATTTTGATTAAAATGCAAGTTTATACGCTTTTTTTTAGTTTATACTCTATAACTCAAAAATAAGGCTCAGAAGAAATTTTGTAATATTATTTGTTTCTCTTTTATCATTTTGTGGATTTAAATTTAATTTTCACCGATATGTGGCGCTGTCGTACCATTTCAGGCAGTCAACATTTATAACGGTTGTTTCTGCATACGCCATGTTATAAACACAATAATATCATGACTTGTGTTTAAGTCTTTTGTTATATCTTAAAAAACAATTTTATGTTTATCATATTTATACTTTGCAATTGGTTTAAATTATTTTTAAAAACTAATGTGTATTTGTAAGAAAATGAAGATAGACGCTAAGCAGATCCTACTCTTGAAAATTATCATGGCCAGTTTTTGGAAGACGATTTTTTGTGGCGGTGAGTAAAATTTCATTTTTAAATGCTAAAAATGACACTTAAAAAGCACTTAATTTTTCCATTAGGAAAGATCACGATGCTTAGATATGATGCAAGTAGTTTAAAGATATGCTATTTCTATTACTTTCTAATAAAATGCACTAAACCAAGAGTATTTATAAATGAGATTTTGTATAAAAACTCAAAGATTAAAATTTATTACCCATGATTCGAATCTATATAACCTTGCTTCTTTAAATGTAATATAATTAAGTTACATTTAGTTTTAAAATATATATATAAGACATATTGAGCTACGATTTTTGAATTTTGCGTTATCATATTAGGCCGTTAAATTTACCTTTAAATTAATGTTTGTGAAATTCTAAATTTTGTTTCGTGGCATTTATCATAGCATCATGTGTTCATGAGTAAAATAAGGCTNTATATATATGCTTTTGTACATCGAAGTGTATATAAAACTTATTAGGAAAAAATGGAAAGAAATCAGTAAAAAATATGTATTTTGTAATTTTTATGCATTGAATATAATCTTAACCACTAAGTTAATTTAATTTCCTTTCTATATATTGTGCATTGTATCTTCTGTATTGTACAGTGCTAAAAACAGAAAAAATATCCCTGAATTACTTAATTAGTGCAGATGATGCTTTAAATTTTAAAATCAGACAGATAACTGTACTTTCGTTGAATAAACATACCTTTTTTTTCTACGGATTATGATTCCTGATCCTCAAAATACTGTAGATAACCGCAATCTTAGAAATATAGTCCCAATAGTTTGGTTAGGAGAAGTGCCGAAAGTTTCTACCCCTTACAGTTAATTTTACTTTCTGTGTATTTTGAATTGTAAAGCGAAAATATTTTTTCAATTAATTATAAAATTCATTTATCTAAGGATAATGTCATGAAAAATTTAATTTTCAATACTACTTTCTCTATTATTTTACTTAATAATAATCGGAAATATTTTGAATACGCAGGTTTTTATATCATTTTAAAGAAAGTAGTTTTAAAAGGCAATATACAAAATTTCTCAGATACTATTTGAGTCATATTATTCGAATAATATTTCCCTCGATGAAATTACGTTCTTTAAAATAATGTTAAATTTGTATTCAATAACAATACAATAACTATTAAATAAGATAATAAATTATCATTAAAATTTATTTTTTGTAGAAATTGATTTTGTCTAAACGAATTTTATAATTGTGTGCAAAAAGTTTTGAATTTACAATTCGGAACACGTAAAAGTAAAATTGACATTGAAGGGTCCAAACTTTTGGCCGCTCTGCTGACCAAACTATTGATGCCATATCTTCTAGATTTCAGGTTTCTTCTATATTTTGGATGTAAAGAATCATAATCTACCTTAAAATAAAGGTATGTTTATTCAAAGAAAATGCGTTTTTTGTGTCTGATTTCGTAACTTAAAATATAGTCTGCTCTAAATAATTGTTATATTTGAGGTAAAACCTTCAAACCACTGTAGTTGAATCTCAGTACATGAAAATTTTTGTTCATTAAGTTAAGAGTAATTCAAAAAGTTTTCCTTTTCCGCATTGAAAATAATTAGTGTTTGTTCGCATTGTTTAATAATTGCAATTTTGAAACAAACTGAAAATTTTAGAGCAATTTTCGTTCATAATATTTAAAAATTGCGATCACAAAATAAACTGCAACTTTTTTAAAATTTCCTTTCTTTCACCTAAAAGAAAAATCGAAGAATCAGATATTAATTGCGACTTTTCTCTGACGAGAACTCATTACAGAAAAAAATATTTTTACATCATAAATCATAGTAAATAAAAGCACCAGGAAAGAAAAACAACTTTTCAGATGTCAAAAGTTATTTTAAATTATTCAATACATTTCAAGCACAAATAAGAAAAATATTTAAAGCAAATATTTTGCTAAGCGTCATATTATGTCAGTAAAACATATTTAAAGGGCACGGCACTTCTTAAATATTCGAATTTTTTTAAATGTTCGAATATTTGCATTATTTTTTTATTTGCTTGCACATTAATAGTATAGTAACTAATAGTGGCTTTAAAGATGATTTTTAACGTTTTTAGTTACTCAATTATATAATACTATTAACAAAAGATTATTTTTTCAGATCCTCCTATTATTGCGCCATTTATGTTTTCACCTGTTTTGAAAGAAGGGGAAACAGCCAATACATTTTGCTCTATTCGTTCGGGTGATAAACCACTCGAATTCAAGTGGATAAAAGATGGTCAACCACTGCCTGTATCGCCCACCGTTAATGTACAGTCTTTTGAAGATTCTTCTGTTTTGTTCATCAAATCTGTCGATTCTGGAAGTTCGGGAAATTACACTTGCATTGTAACAAATTCTTTTGGTAAAGATCAGTATACCGCATCTCTTGTTGTTACAGGTATGTTTTAAGTTTTTTTTTTTTCATTGAGGGGATAAACGATGTTATGCTTGGTTTTACGTAATGACCACCTTTAGCATATATTTTTAGAATATTTCTCAAAAATAAGGTATGTTCATTAAGAGTCTCGAATTAAATTATAAGAGAGGAAAAACATTGTTGAGGAACTACACTAGAAACCCATATTTAAGAACATCGAAATTTGTTGGATTATCGCAAGATGAAAAGTGAAGTTTCAAAGATGATTGATGTAAACATTTCGAAATTATCAGGTTCAATCTCAGATATTTGTGTATTTTTGATCCGGTTTTCCTTGAATTTCGATGTCCGTCCCCACTTACGTTTGCAATTGCTTAAATGTAGTTAGTAACAACTACGGTGTAAGTGGTTTTGACTGAAAATTTAAAAATATTCTCCCATTGTTCTTTTTACTAATTATACAATTGTAAAATTAAATGTGCATTGCCCTTTGACAATAGTTAAAATCCTTTTATTTATTATTTTTTTTTAAAAACAATAAATGTTTCTACAGCTCCTCCTGTATGGTTAAAAGAACCTACAGAAACTGTAGTGAAAGAAGGAGAAAGCGTTTCCATAGAGTGTCAAGCAACAGGTGTTCCATCTCCAAACATTCGATGGAAAACTGGTAACAAGTTCTGTTTTTTTATATAAAATTTTACTTAATACTCATCATATTAACTTTTACGCGTCTTTATTCAAACATCTCTTTTTATTTTAATGCATGTTTGTTTTGTTACTTATATAATGTTTTAATTTAAAGTTGTATAATTTTTATTCAACCCACAGAGAAGTTTACATTAAAGCAATTACGCATTTCTGTACGTCACTGGTCCCTAGTAAATAAAAATTAATTTCCATGAATAAGTACTGCTTTGCGTAGAATGTTCTTATAAAAAAAAAAGAAATTGTGTCTTCATTCCTTCATTTAAAAAAAAATATCTTGCAATATATCCTTGATGGGATAACTTTATATTTATTTTTCTCAGATCAAATTTAACTTGTGAATGCTTGACAAAAACTATGTATTTTAGTATTTTTCCAATAAATCTGAATATTTTATGCGGTTTGAAAATTAGTATGTTAACTGCTATTAGCACCGTATCGAGGATGACAAAATTGTAACTGGTTTTTGATTAGTGATATATTTTTCAATATATTACTGATGAATTAATAATTTATATTTGTTTTATTTAAGAAAAATCTTTACATATAAAACTGATAGATCACAAACTTAATATTTATTTTCCGCACATCAAATTTAACTTATGAAGGCTTGACTGAAACTGTATAGTATAGTATTTTACAAATAAATTTGAATCTTTAACGAGGTTTTAAAATTAATGCGTTGACTTTTATTAGCACCGTATTGAAGATGACAAGTTTTTTTCTGATCATCTCTTGTATTTAAATATACGTTAGAAACCGACGTGATTAGCGAGTGATACTTGCATTCCTCTAAAAATTCAGTTTTTAGTTCGAAAATTAATTATTTTGGTATAATAATATTTCCTTTATGTTTAATTATTTTATGAACTATAAAAACTGAAAGAAATCATTGAGATTGATACTTTAAAATGTAGCCTTCACTATACTCTTCATTTTTAGAAGTAATTTATTAGAAAATGTTGTTTAAATTAATGGCAATAAGAACTTCATACCCATTTACTCAGTAAGTTGCAACTAATAAATTTGCATTAACTCATAAATGATTTTAAATTAATATAAAAAGTATAACTAACAAATTTCTAATGAATAACTAATTAAAAATACTAAATTTTATGCTATTTTGAAACTGTGTGAAAAGATTGTACAGGGATTAGCACGTAAGCTTGTCTAACACTTGTTGTTGTTGTCCTAGGCCATTAAGGCATTGGAGGTGAGATTGCTCTTGCTTTCCAGTGAAGCTATCTATGGCCAAGAATTCGACTTCTGCCACACCCATACGTCACATTCATTTTATAGGCCCCATTCATAAATTCATTCATTTATCCACTGATCCTAATTTTTAACCAGAGCCAGAGAACGACCGTTCGTCAATTCAGTACCTCCAGAGATATAATTTGTAATGGGAACATGGAGAACTTTGCCACCCAACAGAATTAACATGAACCAGTCACCATTTACGGCCCTGCTGGATTCGAACTCCGGCTCATACGAACGTGGGTCCAGCCATGCCAATCAGGCTATCCCGGGTTTCCTGTGTTTGAATCCTGAAAATAGTTGAGTTGTCCTTATTTTATACTTTTTGCCGTAAATTATTACGTTAAATAGTGAATTTGCAGTAAATTTACAATGAATAAGCACACAACTAACTAATCTAATAGCGTAATGTTTCATAGATTATCGTCAAAATCAAGCTTTGTAATAATTTTATAAGTAAATAATAATTTCTAAATAGTATGATAATTCTTAAGGATATAATAATTTCTTGGAGTATAATAATTTCTTAAGTAGTAAACAGGCATTGTTTTGAAGTGTTCATTCAAACGTTATCTGACTTAAAATTACAACCCTTTTTTAGATATTTTTTTCTTGTCTTTCAGAAGTTAAAGGTGTCACTATAACATCAGATTCTTCAAGTACAATTCACGTGACTTCGATTGGAACATTAATCATTTCGAAAGTAATTTATTCTATGGAAGGATCTTACACTTGTGAAGCTGAAAATGGTTTCGGACCACCGCTCACTAAAACTATTTCTCTCACTGTGCGTGGTATGTATGTAATTCCAGGAAAATCCTGTTTTTTGCTTCCTGTATCGTCCATTGAAGTATTTATGAGGTTTGTGTGTGCTAAGTAGCTCTTGTTTTTACATTTATGTAATTATTATGTAATTATTATCGTGTTTTTTCACTGGAACATTTATGTAATTATTATGTAATTATTATCATGATTTTTATTGGAACTATTATTTATGGAGTTATTATCATGTTTTTTCATTGGACTTGTAATAGTATACTCTTCGTATAAGGCTTAGATTTTTTTATTTCTTTTCTAAATGTAATCAAAGCTTGTATATTACATTATCAAATTGATAAATATTGAAATGTGTGTAATATGATTTATTGTTGGCAAATGTTGCACGTGATCACATCCGTTGTCGTCGGAAATTACAAAATCAGATCCCTATTTTCACAAATTTCAAAAAATGGATCTTTCTCTAAACGTTTGGAACTCATTGTGCTGCATGAAATTTAAGACTAATATATAATTAAAATTATTACTATTTTGTATGGAAGAACAATTTTCTAGTAATGTTTCCATACTGGAAACCTCAAACGCAAAAATAAAATTATTTAATTTCAGATGAATTAAAGATTTAATTCCGAGCTACGTTGCTCCAAAAATTGGTATTCATTTGCTGGCTTCGCAAAATAAAGCTCAATTTTACCATATTTTGCTATTTAACACCAAATGTTTTAAGAAGCAATGTTCAATCTTTCTATTTTTTTTCTTTTATAAAAGTAGATGAAGGTTGCACCATTATGCATTTTTAAAGAGCTCAAATACATGTCAAGGTTGCTATTTACCGTAGCAAAACTATTTACTGCAAATAGATTATTTTATGAGATATCTCTAACCATTTTATACAGCCAGCCAAATTTAAAAAGGCAACATAAAAGAAATGAACTTTAATTAGCGCAAATAAGATCTACCTAAATAAGTTGATACTTAAAACAATATGCATTAATCGTCCCTATACTCCGAGACCGAGTTGTAAAGAGAACATTGCGTATTAGCATATATCTTTAAGTTTGCAATACGTCAAAATTTTGTATGTTTTACCAAATTTTGGTGCAGTCAGTTGCACCATGGAAGTATTTCTCAATCATAATTATCGATCTCTATTTACAATTTATGGTGTAACTAAAATAAAATGATTTTTCCCTTAACCAAACGTTGGAATAATGAGATACTTTGCACCAAATACTGGTCAAAAAATTACCGAGTTTTTTCTCTTTTTTTTTTGCAGTGCTTAAGTTTAAAATTTGTTTACCAATTATTTTTTTTTATTTGAATAGTTTTTATTTTGGTGCATATATTTGATATTTTTAAAAATAATGTGTAGTTGATTTTCTGATGCTAATGAATTCATTTTTGTTTGATTGGAATTGTCTTCTTTTTGCATCGTCCTTAGAAAATTTAATTCAACTTCTTTCGGGTCTTGTAATCGAGTCATGTAATTTTATCTGACAACTGATAAAGTGATGAACTATTAATTGTAAATCATGTTTTTTACCAATTTTATCGTCTTATGACACGGACTAAAAAATAAATCTAAGGTGTAACTATTTTTACCTTACCAATAGTAGGTTTATTCAGAACTTGCACCACTCGTGCTCTGGCTCGATTACGATGCATGGTTTTGTGAATCAAAGAGGATAATATAAGTTTTTACTAAATAGTTTTTCTCATTTATACCGAACTAATAGTTTTACCTTGCTAATCCTTACTTAACCTTACTCCCCCGATTTATATCGTATTGTAAAAAGGAATTGCAGGGTATATCTTAATCGTTATACCTTGCTGACAATCTTATTTTTATATATGATATATGCATTTTTAATCGATTTTGTCAGATTTTGTGGTATTGTTGATGTAAAAAAAGAAGCATTATGGTTTCTTGAATCGTTATTTTTACATTTCAGATAATTACATTTAATTACTTTATTAATAATATTTTTGCCAATCCATTTTATCAGATTGGATTATTAACACATACGTGACTAAATTTTTCGAACTTCTGTTTATCAATCAATGCCTAAAATATATTTTTAATGTGTTAAAAATGTTGGAATATATTTCTCATTCACTGTCAAATATGTTCAAAAGTTTCAAAAATATTAATATCTTTCCATAAGTTTTTGTGAAATGATATTTTATGTAGCTTAAGGGAAATAGCACTAAGATAAATAGTTCTATTTTGTGTAATGGTTTTATAGTAAAATTCATCAATAAGTCGTACGTTCCGATGTGCATTTTAGTCATTGTCCTTATGTCAGTAATTAACATTTTGTATTATTAAATTTACATTTATTATTCAATTGTTTGCTTATAGTTTTCATTTTCACCGATATGTGGCGCTGCCGTTCTATTTAGCTCAACTGTCGTTTGTATCTGCTCACACACGCCATGCTATAAACACCATTGTAGCAATAGAACCATTTTTTCCACATTAATTTATTAAAATACAATGCATTACGCTTTACTGTTTGAATTTCTTAAAGATTTCTTGATGTAAATATATAGCGAAATGAAAAAAGTCATAAATCAAATCCTGCTGCTGAAGATATTTTTTTTATGGAAGATTGTATCATGCGGAGGTGAGTGAAAAACATTTTTTTGCATGTATTTAATTTCTAACAAGTGTTTAATATATAATTGAACCTCTTATTAATTTCAAAAGAATCTGCATAATCCCGAATGTAAAATATTATGAACTGATTATTCAATTATATGTATTAGAATTTATTTTACATACAATGTGATATACAATATCGTTAAATATGCATTTATATGCCTTTTGTAACAATGAGAATAACTATTTCATTTGCTATTTAATATGAATTTCCTTTCATACACAGTAAAACGTCATTTAAATTCACCATCGTGATCAGATTTTAAAATAACCAATTTAAAGCTATTTTTATATATGACATATTTAATGTATCACATATTTAATATATTAAATATTTTATATATTACATATTTAATGCATTGCATATCGTATAGTGTATGATGTCGAATTGAAATTTGCTCATCAGTTTAATATACAAATGATTTTTTTTCCATTTTAATAAATTATGAAGATTTTTAGTTAATTGATCTGTATAAATTATTTGTTTGTATTTCTAAAAATATACAAGAAGAAATTATCGTAGCAAAATGTTTAAAAATTATAAAAGTGAAATTTTTCTTTGCTCAGTGTTAGCTTTCTTTAATAAAGAAAATTTTATTTCAACTAGTTAACTTCTTAATTCGGAAAAAAACAAACTAATTCTACAGATATTTGATAGTTTATTGCAATATCAAATCTAAATTGTCTATTTATAGAGAAATATTTAAGTGCCGCTCTTATAGTTTCTACATAGTCTTAATAGTTTTTGATAAACATTAGAACTAATTAGTAAAGTTTAACTTTTTGTTTAGCTTGACAAAAACATTCCTCATCAATTTCTAATAGACTTTGCCCTCTATAAATAGATTTATCAATAGATTATTTGAAAAATAGATTAATTTTTAAAGATTTTATTCAGAGTCAGCTTTAAAATACAAGCCCCTTCAGTTATCACTTACTAATATGGGTGTGTACGTATTAGTAATATCCCTTCACTATCGTGTAATATCTAATGCATGTATGACTAGAATGAATGATTATAATTTTACAAAAGTACATACGTTCGAGGATATCTTATATTCATTTTATAAATTATTACAATTATTTATTAAGTTATAAAAATAATTATAAATAATTATTAAATTATAATTATTTCTGAATTTATTTCTGACATTTTACAATTTTTATGTATTTGTCTAATATAGCTTTTATAGATCTATTATGTTCTTTAGTCACGTAGTAATAATACTAATCTTTTTAATGCTCATTTGGTCATTAGGTTTTAAAGTTCTCTTTAGTTTTATTTAAAAAAATTCATGTGATAATAATTTGTTTTGAAAATTATGTCATGCATATATTGTGTAACAATGATACTAATGTGCTTATTGCTTAAGAACATTTTAAAAAATTTATTTGTTTATTAACGTAAGTTATTTGTTGTATAGAACTATTGTTCAAAGCAATAGCGTGATATCAATTAATTTATTTTTTAAACTTTTTTATTTACGTGCCCCATAATGACCACCCTTAGCCTACATTTTTCATAATACTTACTAAAATGAAGTAAAAAGTATTCATATTAGCAATCACAATTAGTATATAAAAGAGGAAACAACAAAAACGAAAGACTCACTAGAGGAGAAGGTGGTATTGGAAACATCAAAACCTAAACTGTTGGAAGAAGCATAGAGGATGAAAGCTAATTATTGGAAGAAATTTTTTTTTACAAATGCAAATTCTGATATCTCACCTTCCTCAATAGTAATTTGCTAGATTTTGATATCATTTATGTTGTTTTCTGACCAGAGAATTAGTCTGCAACGTAATTCGCACACTTTTTATTAAGTTAGAGCAAATATTTTGAAAATATGTATTAAGTGCAGTTACTGAGATGTAGCGTATATTAAAAAAAGAACAGTTATTAAATGTTTCAAACCTTTTTCTGGTGTTTCAGATGCTCCTATCTTGATACCGTTTACATTTCCGTCAGCATTGAGAGAAGGTGAAAGTGCAACTGTGGTTTGTGCAATACGCACAGGTGACAGGCCCCTTGTATTTCAGTGGTTACAAAACAGCGATCTGTTAAAAGAAACTTCAGGTATCGAAATCCAATCTGCTAAAGACGTTTCACTATTATCTATTGAATCTGTAGTACGACAAATGTCTGGAAATTATACGTGTATAGTGAAGAATGCCTATGGAACTGACAAACATACTGCAAACTTGGCTGTTTCTTGTAAGTATATCGTTTTATCCTGTAGAATTATTTTATCTTTTATTATAATGCATCACATTTTTTGAAGCATATCGAATTCTGTTCACTGGATACACCACAGACATATCATTTTTCAAATATTAGAAACATAAATATTGCTGATATTGCCTCATCGGCAACAGAATGTTTTAAACAAATGCTTAAAATCGTTAATATATTTTTTAAATTATGCATTTTTTTCTTGGAATCTTAAAATAATATTGATTTTTGCAACGGAACTGTAACAGAGAACGAATGGAAAAAGTATATAAGAATTTTTTTAAGTGTCTACATTAAATACTTTTTTAAATAAATTTATAATAAATTATACTTTCAGTAACTTTCGATTGTTTTATTAAAAATAAATATTATTGATAAATTGATTTTCTTATATTTGAAGACAAATATTAATTATTATATTCTTTAATAGCATTTTACTAACATCTTAGTATTTTTAATTATATTTTATATTTCTAAAATTTTTAGTAGATGATAGGCATATGTAAATTCTATTCTTTGTATCAAATTTCAAAGTATCTGAACATTTTTGACTGACTTTTTAATCTGAGGAAGTATATTGTATAACGAAGAGGGAAATAGTAAAAAATCTTACTTCAGGGATAATTTTCTAAAAGCTTATCTCCTTTAATACTTTAGATACTAAATTCTGAGCTCTAGAAATATTAAAACAAAATATGATATCCTAATGGTTAGAATAAATGCATTACATTCAAGATATTTAATATCAGCAAAAGTTATTGAATTATAAAGGTAATTTTTTGCTGCACTTAAATTTTTTATTAGACAAGGAAAAAAGTGTCTACAATTACAAGGTTTAGTTAATTAACTATTGACAGAGTAATCACGGCATTTAATAATATATGCAACCCGAAATACATACTCACCCAAAATATGGATTAATTATAGTACATTCAATGTAAAAAAAATCTAATCAACAATGCAGAAGAGATATTCTATCCTTCATTGTTATTGAAATCGTAATCAATACATTTTAAAGAAAATCAGATTTTCGCGGTTTTGTCCAGAGAAAATGTAAAGATAGCTTTTTTCTGCGGTTGGTTATCTTGCAGAGAAACGTTTTTACAGAAATTCAAACCTTTGTCTGGCATCACAAGAAGAATAAACTTTGTAAAATAAAGATCTTTATATATATATATATATAGANCCAATTGTGGCCTGTTCGTGGGTTAAGGATTCAATGCCCTGAGCCTGACGTCGGGGGCATCCCAGATATGTTCAATGGGGTTCATATCAGGACTTCGAGGTGGCCAATTCAGTCGTTGGATCTCACCTGCATGCTCGTCGAACCAGGCACGGACGATATTGGTGCGATGTGGGGCTGCGGTGTCATCTTCATACACAGCAATGTCATCAGGGTGTTGAAACATGACAAAAGGGTGGGGATGGTCACCAAGCAGCTGAAGATACCGCTGACCAGTCAATGTGGCATCCAGAACACCAGGGGGCCCATTCCATGCCACGAAAATGCACCCCATACCATGACTGATAGGCCAACGGCCTGGACTGTGCCCACTTGGCATGCTGGATCCATCGCTTCCTGCGGTGTGAGCCACACACGGTGCCTCCCATCAGCATGGAACAGTTGATAACGTGATTCGTCAGACCACATCACGTTACGCTACTGTTGCAGTGTCCATCCGTGGTGACTGGTGGCAAATGCACGCCGAATTATCCAATGACGCTGGGTTAGCAATGGCACACGTGTGGGGCGACGGCTCTCATACCCGAGAACACGCATGTTCCGAGGGATTGTCCACTGGGACACGTCTCTATCACGGCCAGTGTTGAATTCAGTCGTGATTTGTTGCACATTTGCTCTCCTATCTTGAGTTACCACTCGTCTCAGGTTTCGCCTGTCTCGGTCATTTAGAGCCTGTGGATGCCCGGTATCGTGTCTGTTGAGGACTGTGACACCCTCATTCACCCATTCTCGGTAAACTCTCGACGCGGTTGACCTTGGGAAGCCGAATTCCTGAACCACTTACGAAATGGAGTGTCCCATGCGTCAGGCACCTACAACCATGCCGCGTTCGAATGCCATCAACTCATGACGACGTTGCATTTTACCTGATCACTCACACAGCCACTTCAAGCAATGTCTAACACACAACTGAGACCGTCGCGGAGGCCACCAGGTGGCGTTGGTCACACGTGCTGTCCATCCACAAATCAGNTATATGTATATGTATATGTATATGTATATGTATATGTATATGTATATGTATATGTATATGTATATGTATATGTATATGTATATGTATATGTATATGTATATGTATATGTTATTTCTGAGACACAACTCATAAAAACTAACTTTTTATAAAACTATTTTTTTTTAAAAATTAGGCTATTGATTCTCTTTCAATAGGTGAAATATCTTTAAAGATGTTTCACTTTAATTTCCTGTCTTAAATTTTTTTTTATCTCATTTAGAATTTAAGATGCGACTTAGCTTTATCTATTTTTCTTTAATGAACATCAAGTTATAAAAGAATTTTTAAAAATGCCCCATTTAAAATTATATTCAATGAAATACTGATTTAAAAAAGAATAAAAAATAAGTCAAAAAAAAAATTTTTTTTGATTCATTATAACTTCATAAATATTTGTGGGTAACTTCAGTTCCCACCCAATATAAAAGCTGAACATATAGGAGTGTGATATTAACTCATCACGTCTTTAGTATTAATCCATTTGATCTTGAACTTAGAATGCGATATTTCTTTTTATTTGGCTCCTCCTATTTTTCTATTTGCTATATTACTGCGTTTTCTATAGATTTTAAAATAGCATTCTCTATAGTGCGCAGCTAAACATAATTCTAAAATTTTAGATAAAAAAAACACATAATTCCAATCTCAGTTTGAATATGAATTTATTCTAGTTTTTAAGATATTTAATTAAGCATTTAGGATAGATTATTTTTTTATCTGAATGCTACGAATTTTTTAATAATTAAAACGTTTTAATGAAATGTTTTAATATTTAAAATGTTTGAAATTTTAATAATTAATAACATTTAAAAAATTATTATTATTTAAATTATTTAAAATAATTACTATTATTAATAATAATTTTTATTTAAAATATTAATTATTATTAATAATAATTATTATTTTTTAAATATTTTATGCTTAAAAGATTTAAAATGAAACCTTATACTATTTTATTTTAATTACATAGGAATTGGACTATTATATTTTTCGAAAAAATTACCTACTTTAAAAGAAGCTCAAGGTCTTAATGTTTCTGTACCGAAAGCCTATTGAGATAACAAATAAAATGATATAGTTATACGGTTCACTAAAGCGTAGACAAATAATAAAAAAGTTTTGAAAGATTGATACATCTGATATGCATTTTCATAGAGTTTCAATAATTTAGTATTTCCTTAAATAGTGTATTGCATTTAGAAAAATATTTTGATCTAAGTGCAAAAATCATTTTTTGAATATTTCATTCGTATTGACTCAATAATTAGCAACTAAATTTTATCTAATTGCTGTTAATTACGTAATAATTTTTGCTGTTCATACCAAAATATTGTTCAATTTTTTTTTATTTAGCTCCTCCTGAATGGTCAAAAGAGCCATCAAATGCAATTGGAAAGCAAGGTGAAAACTTAATCCTGGAATGCGAAGCCGCAGGTGTCCCTCAACCAACAATAACATGGATATCTGGTATAAATGCAACTATTATTATGATTATTATTGTTATTACTATATTATTAATATTATTATTATTACTAAATTACATTTAGTCTTTGCCATCTTTATATTCCATTCTCTTTCTTTTTGCTTGAGTTTAATTGTAACAGTTTTAATACAATTACAATATTTCATTTTACTGATGTAATTTTAATTTATAATAAAAGTTTCATAAGGTCTTCATCCATGTCTATAATATTCTAAAAAATTCACATCGAGTACATATTCTTAAAAAATTATGAATATTTTTTATTTTAAATTAAGTTACGAAAATTTCGTAAATTTGATAATCTAAATTAAAATTTCAACTTTATACCTTTAATTTTTAACTATTTTGTTTAGTTTTCGACTCAGGTTTAACAAGCATTCTAATTTAAAGGAGTGAACTTTCTCTGCCTCTATGTTTGGACTACAAATTAGTTCAAGAGATTCTTTTTAAGTTAAATATTATTTAAAACTTTTTAAGTATTATAAAAAGAATGTAGAATCCGAGATAAATCACTCGCTAAGACAGGGAGCTGTTTGAACCAAACTCAGTTGAAATTTTAAAAAAAAAGCTGTAGCAATTAAAGTAAACTTGAAGATGTTTTTGAAAAAAAAAGAGATTAATTTTATAGTATTTTATTTACATTGACTTATTTCATTAAATGATAATTTCATGATAATTCATTATATTCTCTTTTATTTATTTTCCTTTCATGACTGATTCAATTTATTGGAGTGATAAGTAATCGTTGTTGTTTGATTTTACTTTTAATAGTGTTAATAATATTACAATTAAATTATAATACAGTATAATCTCGCCACCTCAAAATTGAAAGGGGGCTAAAATTTTTGAGATAGTGAGTTTTATAAGTTTCAGAGCAAGAATAACAAGTTAAGAACAAAATATGATCCAAAAAGTAGAAAAATATATTCTAAAATATTACTCTAAAAAGTAGAGTCATGAAACGTAAGAATAACTATTATTAAATTTGTATTTAATGACAGTTGACTATAACTCTAAATATAACAATAATAATTTTATTTTTATTAGAATAATAGAAATAGAAAAAAGAAAAGAATTGGATTCTACACATATTTTAATTAAAAACAATATTATAGAAAAATTATCTGTATAAAAATGTTCGTAATTACACACCATTTTCAATGATTCATAAATGTATTTTCTGCCTAGATAAAAGTAATGTTCCCATATCGAATGATGCTGGATCATCTATTCGTATTTCATCAGCAGGATCTCTTACATTGAGCAATCTAGACTCTTCAATGCAAGGACATTACACATGTGTTGCAGATAATGGATTTAGTGATTCTTTGAAAAAGCAAGTTTCTGTAACAGTGCGTGGTAAGTTGTGGAGAAAATTTTTAAGACCCAATGCCTATTAAATATTGATTAAGTAATATAAAAAAGAATGCATTGTCCTGCAATCACAACCTAACGCTATCGAAATATAATGAATCATTATTTGAAATGGATCACATTAATAGAGAGATTAAAATTACCTAACACTTGTTAATTTATTAAAGTTTACGACTGCTCTTGACTTAGGAGAATGCGTTTCATTTTCTTGGTTTTTGATTATTTTAATCTCTCTAGATTTGATGAACTTCGATCACAAAAACTTGTAACTTGTTTTTCCTTTGATTTACTTTTTCACAAAGATTCAAAAATTATGCTTAATAAGAGTAGTGATTGCTAAACGCTATAAGTGTGAATGCAAATTTAATAAATAATAGTTCTAGTTTTCATAAACAGTATTCTACTTTATTTCGCTTGTAAGTCAGCTCAAATCTGTTGCAGCATCTGCATATAATAGTGCTTTCCATATCATGCTCCCACCTTATTAAACTTGTTAGTTATTGTCTTTATTATATTTCAAAACTCATAAAAAATCTGCACTACTTTAACTCATAATGTGAGGCTATCCATCTGTTATTATTGAATATATCTCGTTATAATTGTACCCACTTTTCAGAAATACAATGTTAATTATTTACGAACAACTTCAGCAATTCCAATTCATTGTATGAAGCATGTTATTTGTTAAGGCGATTTTTCTGACTGTAAAATGATTATGTATAATGTACTCTTGTATGCATTAATATATTTATCTATTCTTATTAAGGTTTTGTAACTTAAGTAAGAATTGACACTTAACTTATATACTAACTTACTTATATTCAACTTACATTTTACCTTAGCTTGTTATTCACATAAAGCAGTTAACATAATTAATTCAATTGAGTTTTGACTTATAAAAACACATTTATTTTTATTGTATTTTCATAGATTATATCAGTTGTAATTTAATTCAATAATTACATTGTTGTCTATAGAATTGCTTTCGAAGTAAAAATACATTGCGATATGAATAACGAAGAGATGTTGTATATAATAAAATTGAATTGAACTGTTGTATTTCTATTTTGCTGGTGGCAATTTTGTGATAAACCTTAAAACAGTTTGCTCCGTCATTACCATCCATAATTTGTTTTTTCAGAATCTTTGACAGAAATCATGTTAAACATCACGACAGTTGCCTAACTTAAGCATACATGGAACAAAAACGCTATCAAAATTTGTCCTAGGGAGAAAGAAAGAATAAAAAACACAAAACCAGTTATATTGGCTGATGGAACTTGTTAAAGTTACGAATAACTATTTTTCAACATTTATTATTTCTTCTGGCAATAAAACAGTTTTGGAAGTTTTCAGTTACGCTTTCCACAAAAGTTGATAGCGACTCTCGTTCAGTTTTCTCTCAATATTATCTCTTGTCCCCTAATATGTAATTTCGGCAAAGTTAAAATATATATTAAGAGCTGTCATTATTATGGAAAGTCATAAATTTGTTCTATAGAATTTACCTGACAATGTTTTTAAGTCTATATCTCCCTTAAGTGTAGTGTTTGTACTCAGTTTATAGAATGTATTCCGACATGACCTCTTTTAAGATATATATGTTTGAAGCAATGCTGTTAAAAAAATAAAAATTAAAATAAATAACGTTACATGTTACGCATATTAATAACGTTATATAAAGAAGTAAACGTTAAAATGGTTATCATGTATTATTTAAGTGAAAAAAAAAATTTATTCAGATTCCTAGAAATAGCTATTGAACAAAAAGGGATTATAATAATTTAGAATTTTATTTAAGGAAAGAGGTTAAAGGTCGTTTCTTAAGAAATGTTCACAAGAAAAGTTAGCTGGTTTATGATAAATTTGTTTCCTTTCTTGCTCAATACGAATTTTTGTGTTTAGAAAAAATTTTTGCAAGATCAATATTAGTTTAATACTCCCAATATGCAATTTTTTTACCAAGATTTTAAAATTATATACTAATAGCAGTCTTTTTTAAATACGCACAAACACTTTAGAGAGAAATAAATACTTAATAAATTGTGACTTTTATTATGAAATGTTCAAGATTATATCTCATAGTCTATATTTATTTATCTATGTGATTTTCAAGATTATTTTATCTATATTTTTATTGAATGTGTATCCTGCCATTAAATTGAAAGCATATGAGATGTAATTCCTGTATTAGATATTTTTCAACATTGTGATAGTCACACTGTTGGGCTATTGGCGACGATTTGTGAGTCATTCTTAGTGATGATTCGAAGAATATACTGGAGCATACGTACACAACACTATCACAATTTCAGATCGGAAGTTGGTGTTCTTTCATTTAAAATTTTACCGATTTATTATAAATACCTATGAAACTCTTGAACACTTCTTTTTTTATTTAAACAATGTATTATCGAAAAATAATCAGTAGTTAAAAGCATTTTACGTTTTATATTATACAGCTTCACAAAAGTATTCCTATCAACAGTTGTTGATGAAATAAAGTAATAAAAATTCAAGTGAATAGCGTTTGTAAGTTTGATATCTTTCATACGAATTTTTTGAAATTTGTTGCAGTGAATTTTTAAATTATGTTTCCGTATATTTGTAATTTTTATTTCTGCCAATATGTGGCGCTGCCTGCTGTATATTATGCTCCGTAACTGTATCCGTTATTTCAACAAACGCCATATTATTAACACTCGTTGTTTCTTCAAGTTCATATTCGTGGTTTTAACCGATCAGCATATAGTTTGAAGTCACAGAATCATTTTAATGTATTAATTTTCATTCATTTTCATCTAATATGTAATTGCCACAAAATGAAGAGAGACATCATTTCTTCGATCCTTTTGTTGAAAATAGTACTATCTACTTTACTGAAGACCGTTTACGGTGGAGGTGAGTTTTAATTTTATAATAATTCATCTTATCAATTATTTGATATCTATATTTATGATTTATGTATTCATTTATACATTTTGTTGTTTATGCATTCATATATTTTCGAAATAGATGCAGCATATTATGAAAGTTATATCAATAATGTTTTTCTACTGAAGGAAAGAGTAAATAAAAATATGTATAAGTTAATCATATGTTATCACAAAATTTCATTTGATTAGCAATATTAATGCAAATTTTCATTCCCGCTGCAATAAATTTAGAAACCTTATTAATTTACAATTTTTTTTTTCATTGAATTGAACGTAGATACTATTATTAAAATAACATCAAAGAAAGAAAGAATGGATATATTATTACAGTGTTTTCACACATTAAAATCACACAAGTTAAAATTTTTATAGTCCAGTAATCCTACAATTATAAATTTGCATAATAAAAGTAGTGTGGTTTATTCTACGCTTTATTACTTCTATAAAAAAAATCTAGTTTTATTTTACTTTACACATAGTTAGCAAAATTGATGACAATAGTTGCTTCTATTTAATATTCATTGCAGTATTGAAAAATATTGATTTTTGATTAAATATTCATTCTACTTAATCGTCATTGAATCACATATAACAAAAACATTTAAATCAGAAACTAATAATACATGTTTAGTTTTAAAACAATTATTAGTTTTAAATCCTGTCCTATTATTTCATAAGTTTCCATTAATAAGTTGTTAAAATGTGATTAAAAAATAATGGAATTGCTAGTTTTTTGTTCACATGCATTTTCTTAATAGAATTTTTTTTTAAATAGTGATTAAAAAATTTTTATTGTTGTTTATTAATCCTATATTTTTCTACTTAGCAATATTTAAAACTGTAGTACTTAGAGTTACCACTGTTAACATAATATAGCTGTAAAAATCATAAAATTAATACATAATATAATTTGTGCAGGCATATAATTTAAAAATTTATATCTGAAATTATAATGTATAATTTAGAAGTTTAAAAATAATTGAAGAATAGGACACGGAAATTTAAAATAGATGAAAACATCAAGTACAGATAAAAAAAATTTATCATGCATTGACCGTTTATCACCTTATTCTTAAAAAATAATAAATAAATATAAATATTTTTTGGCAGATCCACCAATAATTTCACCATTTTACTTTCCACCCATATTGAAAGAAGGAGAAAGTGCTAATACTTTTTGTTCTATTCGTTCTGGAGATAGACCTGTGCAATTCAAGTGGGAAAAAGATGGACAACCCTTGAATGATGAATCCAAATTCGATGTGCAGTCTTTAAAAGATTCTTCTGTTTTGTTTATTGAATCAGTAGATTTTAGAACTGCTGGGAATTATACGTGCATTGTCACAAATTCTTTTGGAAAGGATCAGTATACTGCAAGACTTGTTGTCACTTGTAAGTATCAAATATTTTAATTATTTACAAATATTTATTTATATTATATAAATACATGCATTATAATCAGTAGATCTTTTAAGTGACTTCATGTCGGAAAGTACTTTCTTTGTAAGAGTTATCAAAAAGTCGCCTCCAAATTATTTAAGTCTAATTAAAAGCGCAATTTAGATCTTAAAATAAGTGAAGTACGCTCATCTCTCTAAAAACCACATTTAACAATAAAAATTCATAAAAAAAACAGATTCTCTTTTATAGGCTATAATTATCAGTGCTGCATTCGTGTTTACTTGTTTATAAACTGTTAGAATTTTTATTCTAATATTGCGATAAAATAACCGGCAACAGTCTATCTATCCAATTAACCGTAAAGGTTACGGAAAAGAACACTTTTTACTTCTACGGATTTGAAACCGCTTAAGGCTTGTGTAGTTAAAAACTAAGAATGAAAAGGCGTACGATTTTTTAAACTATTTACAACTGGTGTGGTTTCAAAAGCATAAACAACAATTTTAATTGAACGTTGACTCTGGGATTTTTGTTCCGCAACGACCATTGGAGTTAAATTGTGGTTTATTTGGTTTTATCAAATGAACCGTGGAATGTGACTTTATCTGGTTGTTTCACTTATCATAGAGATGGGAAATGCTAGACTATTTGTGCTAGGCAGCTTTATCTGCTGTCATCTATGTAGGAATGAAAGTATCGTATTCTAATAGTCCAAGGTCACAAATTGGTGAGTTCAGGACACTGGAAACTCTTTATGTAATGAAGGTAATGAGGGAAATATTGCCGTGTCAACGTTCGGACTAAAACCCTAGTTCTGTGGATCATGAGATTGACAGATTAGCCCTATCTGTTATAATATATACCCAGCTGCAAGGAACTAAGTGACTTCACTAGGTGTGACTAGTCGATACGATAAAACTCTGGTTGGTTAACCGTATTAGGTGAAAGCAGTTAATAAACGGTTTTTCTCACAGTTAATAGTTTATAGAACACTTTATTTATTGTCATTTGACAGTTTTGTTTGAATGTGATAAAATAACTATTTAGCAACTAGATGATAAAATAAATGAATTATTTAACAACTTTTTCCNTACCCACACTACGTCACTCACAGATATCCTATTGGGTACATATAACTGACGACATCTTAGGTAAATCTTGGCATTCAGAAGCTAATTATATATATATACATATACACAATGTATACAAATGTCGTTGAGCAGCCAACCCAGTTTTTTGAGTTTACGACTTCAACTTCATTATTCAACTCCGCAGTCTTGTAATTTTGAACCCGATCCAGAAGACAAGGGAAACTCCTGGATCAAGTAATAGGTGAATTTTGCCTAAGTGAATAGGTGAAGCTAACAGGATAGTTTTGATGAAACTAACCCGCATTTGCGTTACATATAGAGGAAGACCACGAGAACCTCCTTCGGTTAGCCTAACGGCAAAAGGACTCTAACCCATGATCCGTCTACCACTGAGGATATTTCACGTCAGCACTGTGGTCGGTACAAGCCGAATGCGGATCGACCAGCCATTGATGGATTCGAACCCAGATCACCTCATTGCAAGCCGAGTGCTGTATCCCCTGCGCCATCACGACTCATGCTGACTTGTTTTGTAATACTAAAACAGCTGTTTTTTTTCGTTCTTTTTATTTCTATCCTATGCTTATTTTTTATTAAAAATTCAGTGTATCTCTAATGCAACTTTTGTCCGTCACAGGACAAAGTGCTCCATTATTTTAAGGATACATTGTACTTATAGCTCCTGCTTATTTTTTTCTGCAATAATAACACAGTCTATTTTTCTTTTAAACGCTTGTAGCCCCTCCTGTATGGTTAAAAGAACCAGCAGATACTATTGTGAAGGAAGGAGAAAGTATTTCAATAGAATGTCAAGCATCGGGTGTACCTACTCCAAGAATTAAATGGAAAACAGGTAAATAGTAATTCTTCTCTAAAAATACCTGGTTTATCACAGTATTCTGTAGAAAATTTGAAGGTGTTAGAGCCTCTTTTTAACCTTTTAGTCATTTACAGATTTTTAAATATTTTCAAATTTTTTCGTTGCTGGGAAAATTTGTTGAAAATTTTCCAAATATGGTATCCAACCTTGCAGCAAATAGAAGCTAAAAGAATAGGTTAAATATCTTCGATTTTTCAGCAAGTTTTCGTAAGAGCTTTAAAAATTAGCCCACACTCTAAATAAAAGAAAAGTTGTTCCACAACTTCAATACTAATGTGTTGATTGCGGCGATGAATGATAGAATTGCGCAAACAATTTTAAAAAAAAGGTTATGCCTTCAGAGATTACCTCCAGATATTTATAAAGAAAAGTAAAATCTTTAAATGCCACTTGAGCACACTTTCTTCCGCAAAGCCTCCAGAATGAAACAATTTTCTTTGGCCAAATTATTAGACTCGCTATAAGATTATATGTAAAGTCTTAATTATCAGGTGATACTGTGTAGCTTTATTACGACTAAAACTGGTTTGCACTTGTTTACGTTCGTGTATCCATTGGTAAGATTACATAAATATAGAATATTTATTATATCACGTATTATATTAATATATTATAATAATCAGACTAAATTATTAGACGCACTGTAGTGTTTTA